TTACACACACACACACAGTTACACACACACAGTTACACACACACACACAGTTACACACACAGTTACACACACACACACAGTTACACACACAGTTACACACACACACACAGTTACACACACACACAGTCACACACACACACACAGTTACACACACACACAGTTACACACACACACACACACAGTTACACACACACACAGTCACACACACACAGTGACACACACAGTTACACACACAGTTACACACACACAGTTACACACACACAGTTACACACACAGTTACACACACACAGTTACACACACACAGTTACACCCACACACACAGTTACACACACACACACAGTTACACACACACAGTTACACACACACACAGTTACACACACACACACAGTCACACACACACAGTGACACACACAGTTACACACACAGTTACACACACACAGTTACACACACACACAGTTACACACACACACACAGTTACACACACACACAGTCACACACAGGTACACACACACACAGTTACACACAGTTACACAGTTACACACACACAGTTACACACACACAGTCACACACACAGTTACACACACACACACAGTTACACACACACACAGTTACACACACACAGTTACACACACACAGTTACACACACAGTTACACAAACACACACACACAGTTACACACAGTTACACACACACACAGTTACACACACACACACAGTTACACACACAGTTACACACACACAGTTACACACACACACAGTTACACACACAGATACACACACACACAGTTACACACACACACAGTTACACACACACAGTTACACACACACACACAGTTACACACAGTTACGCACACAGTTACACACACACAGTTACACACAGTTACACACACACACAGTTACACACACACAGTTACACACACAGCTACACACACAGTTACACACACAGTTACACACACACAGTTATACACACAGCTACACACACACACAGTTACACACACACACACACACAGTTAGACACACACAGTCACACACACACAGTTACACACACAGTTACACACACACAGTTACACACACACACAGTTACACACAGTTACACACACACACACACAGTCACACACATACAGTTACACACACACACACAGTTACACACACACACAGTTACACACACACACACAGTTACACACACACACAGTTACACACACACACACACAGTTACACACAGTTACACACACACACAGTTACACACACACACACAGTTACACACACACACAGTTACACACACACACACACAGTTACACACAGTTACACACACAGTTACACACACAGTTACACACACAGTTACACACACACACACAGTTACACACACACAGTTACACACACACACACAGTTACACACACACAGTTACACACACACAGTTACACACACACACACACAGTTACACACACAGTTACACACACACACAGTTACAAACACACACAGTTACACACACACACACACAGTTACACACACACACAGTTACACACACACACAGTTACACACACACACAGTTACACACACACACAGTTACACACACACACAGTTACACAGACACACACACAGTTACACACACACACAGTAACACACACACAGTTACACACACACACAGTTACACACACACACAGTTACACACACACACAGTTACACACACAGTTACACACACACACAGTTACACACACACACACAGTTACACACACAGTTACACACACACACAGTTACACACACACACACAGTTACACACAGTTACACACACAGTTACACACACACACAGTTACACACACACACAGTTACACACACACACACAGTTACACACACACAGTTACACACACACACACAGTTACACACACAGTTACACACACACACACAGTTACACACACACACAGTTACACACACACAGTTACACACAGTTACACACACACACACAGTTACACACACACAGTTACACACACACACACAGTTACACACACACACACAGTTACACACACACACATACAGTTACACACACAAACAGTTACACACACACACAGTTACACACACACACAGTTACACACACAGTTACACACACACAGTTACACACACAGTAACACACACAGTTACACACACAGTTACACACACACACAGTTACACACACAGTGACACACACACACTGACAGGCATACACACACAGACTCACAGACACACACACTGACAGACACACAACAACAACAACCACCGCCATTCGCCACTAAGTGGTGGTGACGTCACCACGACGCTTGTGCCAGGACATGTGCACCCTGAGGCCACGTGAAGTGTCGAACGCCCGCTGGCAGGAGGTCACGGGGCAGACCCAGGTGCCACTGGTCGACTGACTGAGATGACTGGCTGGTGCACCACCTGTGCCCCCTACTGTGCCAACCTGCTGTGCTTTAGCCACCCGGCGCTCCGCTCGTTGTTGTGAGCGTCGCTCCTCCGCCCTCCGTTGTTGTTGGAGGGCGACTGCCTCCAACTGCTCAGTAGCATCCTTCACGAGCCTCCTCCACAGAGGCCGATCTTGACACCGCTGGTACCAGTCATCGGCAAGTCCACTCAGCTCCACGTCCTCCTGTACCAATTCACTCCATCTCTTCTCTAGCCCGTGCCGCGCCTGCTTAGCCCCCTCAATCCGGCCGAACAAAAGCTGTTTCGGCATGCGGTGGCTGGGCATGCGGGCTACATGACCCAGCCATCGCAGCCTTGCCCGCCGGAGGAGCTCACCGATGCGACCTTGCCCAGATCTTTCAAGGATTTGTGAGCTCCTCACACAATCCAGTCTGGTTAAACCCAGGATGGATCGTAGGCAGGCCAGCCTAAATGTGTCTAACCGGCGAAGATGTTCCATTAGGGGGGTCCACGTTTCGCAAGCGTAGAGAAGGGAGGGAATGACCGTGGCCGAGAAGACCTGAAGCTTAGTTTGGAGCGACAGACCAGGTAGCTTCCACACAGCGTTACGCAACATACACACACACACAGGTACACATACACAGGTACACACACACACAGGTAGGCACACACAGGTACACACACAGGTACACACACACACACAGGTACGCACACACACAGGTACACACACAGCTACACACTACCACAAGAAGGCAAAGACAAAGACCCCCCGTGTAGCCTCTAACAGGGCTGTAGGGGCAAGTGCTGTTAGTAGTGAGTAGCAGCGCCTTTGAAGGCTACCGGCACGGCACACGAGGGGGTGGGTGGTCAGCACCACGCCCGGCCGCCTTTGTCTCCCTAGTGGCGATGTTTCTACACACCGCTACACCAGGTACTCATTTGAGGCTGAGTCGACCTAGGGGAGGCCCAGGACTGGTTCAGATAATCGTCTCTGGTGTTGTTGGCCATGAGCAGGAATCGAACCGGGGTCGCCAGGTTCCTAGCGCAGCGTAGCGCTAACCGCTACACTACCGCTACCACACAGACTCCCACAGAGACTCACAGACTCCCACAGAGACCCACAGACTCACACAGAGACCCACAGACTCCCACAGAGACCCACAGACTCCCACAGAGACTCACAGACTCCCACAGAGACCCACAGACTCCCACAGAGATCCACAGACTCCCACAGAGATCCACAGACTCCAACAGACTCCCACAGAGAACCACAGACTCACACAGAGTCCCACAGAGACCCACAGACTCGCACAGAGACTCACAGACTCACATAGAGACCCACAGAGACTCACAGACTCCCACAGAGACCCACAGACTCCCACAGAGACTCACAGACTCCCTTAGAGACCCACAGACTCCCTTAGAGACCCACATAGACTCACAGAGACCCACAGACTCCCATAGAGACCCACAGACTCCCAAAGAGACCCACAGAGACTCACAGACTCCCACAGAGACCCACAGACTCCAACAGACTCCCATAGAGACGACAGGCTCCCAAAGAAACTCACAGACTCCCATAGAGACCCACAGACTCCAAAAGACTCCCACAGAGGCTCACAGACTCGCACAGAGACCCACAGACTGCCATAGAGACCCACAGACTCACACAGAGACCCACAAACTCCCACAGAGACTCACAGACTCCCACAGAGACCCACAGACTCCCATAGAGACCCACAGAGAGACCCCCACAGACTCCCATAGAGACCCACAGACTCGCAGAGACCCACAGACTCACACAGAGACCCACAGACTCACACAGAGACCCACAGACTCACATAGAGACCCATAGACTAACACAGAGACCCACAGACTCACACAGAGACCCACAGACTCACATAGAGACCCACAGACTCACATAGAGACCCACAGACTCACAGAGACCCACAGACTCACATAGAGCCCCACAGACTCACACAGAGACCCATAGACTCCCACGGAGACCCACAGACTCACATAGAGACCCACAGAGACCCACAGACTCACAAAGAGACCCACAGACTCACAAAGAGACCCACAGAGACCCACCAAGACCCACAAACTCCGTCAGAGACCCACAGACTCCCACAGAGACCCATAGACTCCCACAGAGACCCACAAACTGCCACAGACTCCCACAGAGACCCATAGACTCACAGAGACCCACAGATTCCCACAGACTCACACAGAGACCCACAAACTCCCACAGACTCCCACAGAGACCCACAGATTCACAAAGAGACCCACCAAGACCCACAGACTCCCACAGAGACCCATAGACTCACACAGAGACCCACAGACTCACAAAGAGACCCACCAAGACCCACAGACTCCCACAGAGACCCACAGACTCCCACAGAGACCCACAGACTCCCACAGAGACCCACAGACTCCCACCAAGACCCACAGAGACCCACCAAGACCCACAGACTCCCACCAAGACCCACAGACTCCCACCAAGACCCACAGACTCACACAGAGACCCACAGACTCCCACCAAGACCCACAGACTCCCACAGAGACCCACAGAGTCGCCGCACAGATCCCCAGGGCAGGGCTACTCACCGATCTCCGCTTCCATTGTTGCGTTCTTGGAAGGGATCAGCACCGTGGGAGGCTTCTCGTTGGTGGGAACTGCATGGGGCGAGAGAGGGGGCACAGCGGTGGGTAGGCGACGTCGACTCGGTTAACTCGTAGCAGTAGTCGTAGTAGGTGTAGTGAGTGTAGTAGTTGTAGTAGGAGTAGTTGTAGTGATTGTAGTAGTAATAGGAGTAGTAGTTGTAGTAGTTGTAGTGATTGTAGTAGTTGTAGTAGGAGTAGTAGCAGTAGGAGTAGTAGTAGTTGTAGTAGGAGTAGTAGGAGTAGTAGCAGTAGGAGTAGTAGTAGTGTAGTAGGAGTAGTAGTTGTAGTGATTGTAGTAGTTGTAGTAGTAGTATTAGTTGTAGGAGTAGTAGGAGTAGTTGTAGGAGTAGTAGTAGTTGTAGGAGTAGTAGGAGTAGTAGTAGTTGTAGGAGTAGATGTAGTAGCAGTAGTTGTAGTAGTTGTAGTGATTGTATTACTTGTAGTAGTAGGAACAGTAGGAGTAGTAGTTGTAGGAGTAGTAGTAGGAGTAGTAGTAGTAGTCGTAGTAGGTATAGTGATTGTAGTAGTTGTAGTAGGAGTAGTAGCAGTAGCAGTAGTAGGAGCAGTAGTAGTTGTAGTAGTAGGAGTAGTAGTAGTTGTAGTGATTGTAGTAGTTGTAGTAGGAGTAGTAGCAGTAGGAGTAGTAGTAGTGTAGTAGTAGTAGGAGTAGTAGTAGAAGTAGCTGTAGGAGTAGTAGTAGTTGTTATAGTAGGAATAGTTGTAGTAGCAGTAGTAGGTGTAGTAGTAGGAGTAGTTGTAGGAGTAGTTGTAGGACTAATTGTAGGAGTAGTTGTACGAGTAGTTGTAGGAGTAGTAGTTGTAGTAGTAGTTGTAGGAGTAGTAGTTGTAGGAGTAGTTTTAGGAGTAGTTCTAGTAGTAGCTGTAGTAGTAGTAGGAGTAGTAGGAGTAGTTCTAGTAGTAGCTGTAGTAGGAGTAGTTGTAGGAGTAGTAGTAGGTGTAGTTGTAGGACTAGTTGTAGGAGTAGGACTAGTTGTAGGAGTAGTAGTAGTTGTAGGAGTAGTAGTAGGAGTAGTAGGAGTAGTTGTAGTAGTAGTTGTAGTAGTAGTTGTAGTAGTAGGAGTAATTCTAGTAGTAGCTGTAGTAGGAGTAGTTGTAATAGTAGTTGTAGGAGTAGTTCTAGTAGTAGCTGTAGTAGAAGTAGTTGTAGGAGTAGTAGTAGGTGTAGTTGTAGGACTAGTTGTAGGACTAGTTGTAGGAGTAGTAGTAGTTGTAGGAGTAGTTGTAGGAGTAGTAGTTGTAGGAGTAGTAGGAGTAGTTGTAGGAGTAGTAGGAGTAGTTGTAGGAGTAGTAGTAGTTGTAGCAGTAGTAGGTGTAGTAGTAGGAGTAGCAGTAGTAGTAGCTGTAGTAGTTGTAGGAGTAGTAGTAGGTGTAGTTGTAGGACTAGTTGTAGGAGTAGTAGTAGTTGTAGGAGTAGTTGTAGGAGTAGTAGTTGTAGGAGTAGTAGTTGTAGGAGTAGTAGGAGTAGTTGTAGGAGTAGTAGTAGTTGTAGCAGTAGTAGTTGTAGGAGTAGTAGTAGTAGTAGCTGTAGTAGTAGTAGTAGTTGTAGGAGTAGTTGTAGGAGTAGTAGTTGTAGTAGTAGTTGTAGTAATAGTAGGAGGAGTAGTAGTAGTTGTAGCAGTAGTAGTTGTAGTAGTAGGAGTAGTAGTAGTAGTAGCTGTAGTAGTAGTAGTTGTAGGAGTAGTTGTAGGAATAGTAGTTGTAGTAGTAGTTGTAGTAATAGTAGGAGTAGTAGTGGTAGTTGTAGGAGTAGTTCTAGTAGTAGCTGTAGCAGGAGTAGTTGTAGGAGTAGTCGTAGTAGGAGGCTTTCCCGACCCAAGTCATCCATGATAAAGGTTGTTGTGTTATTGTTGTTGTTGTTTTGATCGCGCTAAGATAAATGTTGTGTCGTTAAACCGGCCACCACCCGACACAGCCAATCAGCAAAGGGTTTGTCACGTCAACAGAATCGTGCCAATTTGTTATTAGTACAGCACTAGCCGGTGTATTGGACATGTTAACTACCTCGCCTGCTATACAGGAGGTCGTGGGTTCGATCCCGGACCCTGGCGATGCCTGCTGCTGCTGCTGTAGATGTGGAGTCTCTGAGTGTCTCTCTCTCATCATCATCATCACGGTGGCTATGAGATGTTGACTACCTCGCCTCGTACACAGGAGGTCGTGGGTTCGATCCCGGACCCTGACGATGCCTGCTGCTGCTGCTGTAGATGTGGAGTCTCTGAGTGTCTCTCTCTCATCATCACCACCACCACAGTGTCTATGAGATGTTGACTACCTCGCCCGGTACGCAGGTTGTAGGTTATAGCCCGCACGCCCTCCGCATTATGACAACTCCCTCCCTCTAATTTCAATGGTACAGTATATTTTTTCAAGTAGTGGTACCCCAAACTTTCGCAGCTCTTATGAATTCCCTTTTCACACCATCAATAGGTAAACTCCCCCCTTCCCCCCCGCGCCAAACGGCAAGTCCACCGGCACGTACACCACCTCTTTCCTAAAATCGGCCAATCAAATGCTAATTTTCATGCTAAATTCTTTGTCAGAACACCTTGTTTGCTCGCACACAGTTTAAAGGTCCGCTGTCTGAGCGTGGTTGTGTTTCGCTAAATTCTCCTGTTTGATTAGTACTAGGTGCCTCGGTGAATGTATATGCTCTGACTTTAACATAGCTATTTCTGTGACCAGTTACAAGCTAATCACTCAGCTATTTCAATGCTAAATTCTATGCTAATTCCTTTGTCAAGGGGTACCTCTGCGGATGTGTATACTTTAACTTAGCTATTTCAATGAGCCATTTCAATGCTAAATTATATGCTAATTCCTTTGTCAAGGCGCTTTGTTTCTTCTCACACAGCTTAAAGGTCGTGATCTAAGCGTGGCTTCTTCCACTCCAGCGCTAATTCCTTTGTCAAGGGGTACCTCTGCGGATGTGTATACTTTAACTTAGCTATTTCAATGAGCCATTTCAATGCTAAATTATGTGCTAATTCCTTTGTCAAGGCACTTGGTCTTTTTCTTCTCACACAGCTTAAAGGTCGTGATCTAAGCGTGGCTTCTCCCACTCCAGCGCTGTCCTACCAGACAGTCTCGTCCCCTTCACCTGATGAAGGCCGCTTGTGTTGTGGCCGAAACGTCGTGATTTTTGGTTATTTTATTTTCACCTACGTGGTGACTTTACCCAACAGAACCAAAGAGTATCCCTCCCTCCGCTCTCCCCCCCCCCCCCACGGGGCACTCACTGACGACGCGGATGTGGCGCGTGCGGGAGACGCGCCACGTGCGGTTAAAGCGGCGGAAATCGGCCACGCAGGAGAAGTTGCCCTCGTCGCCCGCCATCACGCGGGGGATCAGCAGGTTGTTGCCCACCACCTGCCCTCCTTCGTAGGGCTCACAGTCCTACACGGGGGCGGGCGGGGGGGGATTGGGGAGAGTTAGAGAGAGTTAGAGAGAGGGGCTGCAGGCCTCAGGCTTGGGGGTCTCCTCAGGCTTGGGGGCCTGCTCAGGCTTAGGGGCCTGCTCAGGCTCAGGGGCCTGCTCAGGCTTAGGGGCCTGCTCAGGCTTGTGAATAATTCGACCTTGGTTTTTTTTTTCATCGTTTGCGGCCTCATTCATTTGTCAATTTCCGGGTCGCGTATTCTGGCCGGGCGCTGGCGCCCCTCTGCCGTCCATCGTGGCGCAGCAACCCCAGGATGGAGTCCCTCTCGCGGTGGAACGGCAGCGTCTGGGTCCCTCCGCACGAGATCGCCGCCCTCCCTCGAGGGCGCCGACCTGCGACGTTTGGGCACGGCGGCCTCGCGGCGTCGACACGCCGCCCCCGGGGGGGCCGGCGTCGGCGCGCGGTCACGTCGCTCCGGCGACAAGCTTGCGCGGCCCTTCGAAGGACGCCCGACACGGGCCTCGACGCCGCGACCCTCGGGCGGCGGCGGTGGTGCCGGCCACGCACGGAACGACCGCGAGGTCCCCGCCAAGTCGCCGGCCCACCGCCTCAAGTCGGCGGTGGGCCGGCCGGTGCGGCCCGGGCAGACCGACCGCGTCCCGGGCCGGCGCTTGCAACGTGGGCACGGTCGGGGACGCCGCGGGCTTGGGCCTCCTCTTCCTCGACCGGGGGGAAGGCCCTCGGCCGGGTCGGCCGTCTCCGCCAGCGTCGCGGCCTTCGGGGCCGCGGGCCGCGAGGACGACCCCGCCCCTCGCCCTGCCGAGGGTCGCCATGTGAGAGAGCTCTTCCTGCTGGGCCCGGCTCGACGGCCTTCCACCGGAGCCTGCCGGACGCCTGGCACAGCCCGGCCTGGAGCAGGGCGAGCCTCGCGCCGCAGGCCCGGGGCGGGTCCTGCGCGAGGGCCCCGTCCCGCGGCGGCGGCCAAGCGGGGACCCGGGAGGAGGAGGCGGCGAGGGCCGCGGACGGCCGGCACCCCCGCGTGAAGGTCCGCGGCCGGCCGACGCTCCGTGCCGGGCGGGGAGAAACTGCCGCGGGCGGGGGCGCCCCCCCCCCTCCCCCCCCCCCCCCCCCCCTCCCCCCCCCCTCCCCCCCCCCCCTCCCCCTCCCCCCCCCCTCCCCCTTCCTAGAGCCGCATTAACACGTGCCGCATTAACACGTGCCGCATTAACTCGTGCCGCATTAACACGTGCCGCATTAACACGTGCCGCATTAACACGTGCCGCATTAACACGTGCCGCATTAACTCGTGCCGCATTAACTCGTGCCGCATTAACTCGTGCCGCATTAACACGTGCCGCATTAACACGTGACGCATTAACACGTGCCGCATTAACACGCGCCGCATTTACTCGTGCCGCATTTACTCGTGCCGCATTAACACGTGCCGCATTAACTCGTGCCGCATTAACACGTGCCGCATTTACTCGTGCCGCATTAACACGTGCCGCATTAACACGTGCCGCATTAACACGTGACGCATTAACACGTGCCGCATTAACACGTGCCGCATTTACTCGTGCCGCATTAACTCGTGCCGCATTAACACGTGCCGCATTTACTCGTGCCGCATTAACTCGTGCCGCATTAACTCGTGCCGCATTAACACGTGCCGCATTAACACGTGCCGCATTAACACGTGCCGCATTAACACGTGCCGCATTTACTCGTGCCGCATTAACACGTGCCGCATCGGACATTTACACGTGCCGCATTTACTCGTGCCGCATTAACACGTGCCGCATTAACACGTGCCGCATTAACACGTGCCGCATTAACACGTGCCGCATTAACACGTGCCGCATTAACAGGTGCCGCATTTACACGTGCCGCATTAACACGTGCCGCATTTACTCGTGCCGCATTAACACGTGCTGCATTAACACGTGCCGCATTAACACGTGCCGCATTAACTCGTGCCTCATTTACTCGTGCCGCATTTACTCGTGCCGCATTAACTCGTGCCGCATTAACACGTGCCGCATTAACACGTGCCGCATTAACACGTGCCGCATTAACAGGTGCCGCATTTACACGTGCCGCATTAACACGTGCCGCATTTACTCGTGCCGCATTAACACGTGCTGCATTAACACGTGCCGCATTAACACGTGCCGCATTAACTCGTGCCGCATTAACACGTGCCGCATTTACTCGTGCCGCATTAACTCGTGCCGCATTAACTCGTGCCGCATTAACACGTGCCGCATTAACACGTGCCGCATTAACACGTGCCGCATTAACACGTGCCGCATTTACTCGTGCCGCATTAACACGTGCCGCATCGGACATTTACACGTGCCGCATTTACTCGTGCCGCATTAACACGTGCCGCATTAACACGTGCCGCATTAACACGTGCCGCATTAACACGTGCCGCATTAACAGGTGCCGCATTTACACGTGCCGCATTAACACGTGCCGCATTTACTCGTGCCGCATTAACACGTGCCGCATTAACACGTGCCGCATTAACACGTGCCGCATTAACTCGTGCCGCATTAACTCGTGCCGCATTTACTCGTGCCGCATTAACACGTGCCGCATTAACTCGTGCCGCATTAACACGTGCCGCATTAACTCGTGCCGCATTAACACGTGCCGCATTAACACGTGCCGCATTAACACGTGCCGCATTAACGCGTGCCGCATTAACGCGTGCCGCATTAACGCGTGCCGCATTAACACGTGGCGCATTAACACGTGCCGCATTAACACGTGCCGCATTAACGCATGCCACATTTACTCGTGCCGCATTAACACGTGCCGCATTTACTCGTGCCGCATTAACACGTGCCGCATTAACACGTGCCGCATTAACACGTGCCGCATTTACTCGTGCCGCATTAACACGTGCCGCATTAACACGTGCCGCATTAACACGTGCCGCATTAACACGTGCCGCATTAACACGTGCCGCATTAACACGTGCCGCATTAACGCATGCCACATTTACTCGTGCCGCATTAACACGTGCCGCATTTACTCGTGCCGCATTTACTCGTGCCGCATTAACACGTGCCGCATTAACACGTGCCGCAATTACTCGTGCCGCATTAACTCGTGCCGCATTAACACGTGCCGCATTAACACGTGCCGCATTAACACGTGCCGCATTTACTCGTGCCGCATTAAAACGTGCCGCATTAACTCGTGCCGCATTTACACGTGCCGCATTAACACGTGCCGCATTAACACGTGCCGCATTAACACGTGCCGCATTTACTCGTGCCGCATTTACTCGTGCCGCATTTACTCGTGCCGCATTAACACGTGCCGCATTAACACGTGCCGCATTAACTCGTGCCGCATTAACACGTGCCGCATTAACACGTGCCCGCATTAAACACGTGCCGCATTAACACGTGCCGCATTAACACGTGCCGCATTAACACGTGACGCATTAACACGTGCCGCATTAACACGTGCCGCATTAACACGTGCCGCATTAACACGTGCCGCATTAACACGTGACGCATTAACACGTGCCGCATTTACACGTGCCGCATTAACACGTGCCGCATTAACACGTGCCGCATTAACACGTGCCGCATTAACACGTGCCGCATTAACACGTGCCGCATTAACTCGTGCCGCATTAACTCGTGCCGCATTAACTCGTGCCGCATTAACTCGTGCCGCATTAACACGTGCCGCATTAACACGTGCCGCATTAACACGTGCCGCATTAACACGTGCCGCATTAACACGTGCCGCATTAACACGTGCCGCATTAACACGTGCCGCATTAACTCGTGCCGCATTAACACGTGACGCATTAACACGTGACGCATTAACTCGTGACGCATTAACACGTGACGCATTAACACGTGACGCATTAACTCGTGACGCATTAACACGTGCCGTATTAACACGTGCCGCATTAACACGTGCCGCATTAACTCGTGCCGCATTAACACGTGCCGCATTAACACGTGCCGCATTAACACGTGCCGCATTAACTCGTGCCGCATTAACTCGTGCCGCATTAACACGTGACGCATTAACACGTGACGCATTAACACGTGACGCATTAACACGTGCCGCATTAACACGTGCCGCATTTACTCGTGCCGCATTAACACGTGACGCATTAACACGTGCCGCATTAACACGTGCCGCATTAACTCGTGCCGCATTAACACGTGCCGCATTAACACGTGCCGCATTAACACGTGCCGCATTTACTCGTGCCGCATTAACTCGTGCCGCATTAACACGTGCCGCATTAACACGAGCCGCATTAACACGTGCCGCATTAACACGTGCCGCATTAACACGAGCCGCATTAACACGTGCCGCATTAACACGAGCCGCATTAACACGTGCCGCATTAACACGTGCCGCATTAACTCGTGCCGCATTAACACGAGCCGCATTAACACGTGCCGCATTAACACGTGCCGCATTAACTCGTGCCGCATTAACACGTGCCGCATTAACACGTGCCGCATTAACTCGTGCCGCATTAACACGTGCCGCATTAACACGTGCCGCATTAACACGTGCCGCATTAACTCGTGCCGCATTAACTCGTGCCGCATTAACTCGTGCCGCATTAACACGTGACGCATTAACACGTGACGCATTAACACGTGCCGCATTAACACGTGCCGCATTAACACGTGACGCATTAACTCGTGACGCATTAACACGTGCCGTATTAACACGTGCCGCATTAACACGTGCCGCATTAACTCGTGCCGCATTAACACGTGCCACATTAACACGTGCCGGGTTAACACGTGCCGCATTAACACGTGCCGCATTAACACGTGCCGCGTTAACACGTGACGCATTAACACGTGCCGCATTTACTCGTGCCGCATTAACACGTGCCGCATTTACTCGTGCCGCATTAACACGTGCCGCATTAACACGTGCCGCATTAACACGTGCCGCATTTACTCGTGCCGCATTTACTCGTGCCGCATTAACACGTGTCGCATTAACACGTGCCGCACTAACACGTGCCGCATTTACTCGTGCCGCATTAACACGTGCCGCATTAACACGTGCCACATTAACACGTGCCGCATTAACACGTGCCGCATTAACACGTGCCGCATTAACAAGTGCCGCATTTACTCGTGCCGCATTAACACGTGCCGCATTTACTCGTGCCGCATTAACTCGTGCCGCATTAACACGTGCCGCATTAACACGTGCCGCATTAACACGTGCCGCATTAACACGTGCCGCATTAACACGTGCCGCATTAACACGTGCCGCATTAACACGTGCCGCATTAACACGTGCCGCATTTACTCGTGCCGCATTAACACGTGCCGCATTAACACGTGCCGCATTAACACGTGCCGCATTTACTCGTGCCGCATTAACTCGTGCCGCATTAACACGTGCCGCATTAACACGTGCCGCCATGGGCGGTGGCGTGGTGCGTGGGCGTTGTGCGTGGGTGTTGTGTGTGGGCGTGATGTGTGGGTGTTGTGTGTGGGTGTTGTGCGTGGGTGTTGTGCATGGGTGTTGTGCGTGGGTGTTGTGTGTGGGTGTTGAGGTATTTTCCTTGCCGCTGCTGTCAATGTACGTGACTGGGCTCCAGCGCAATTGCGCTGGTGGCTTAATAGAAGCAGCTTAAAGTCTCTCTCTCTTCTCTGTCTCTCTCTCTCTCTGTCTCTCTCTCTTGTCTCTCTCCCGTCTCTCTCTCTGTCTCTGTCTCTCTCTCTAGATGTATCTCTCTCTGTCTCTCTCTTCTCTGTCTCTCTCTCTCTCTCTCTCTCGTGTCTCTCTCTCTTGTCTCTCTCTCGTGTCTCTCTCTCTTGTCTCTCTCTCTCTCTCTCGTGTCTCTCTCTCGTGTCTCTCTCTCTTGTCTCTCTCTGTCTCTCTCTCGTCTCTCTCTCTTGTCTCTCTCTCTGTCTCTCTCTGTCTCTCTCTCTTGTCTCTCTCTTGCCTCTCTCTGTCTCTCTCTCTCGTCTCTCTCTCTTGTCTCTCTCTCTGTCTCTCTCTCTGTCTCTCTCTCTCGTCTCTCTCTCTCGTGTCTCTCTCTCGTGTCTCTCTCTTGTCTCTCTCTCTGTCTCTCTCTCTCTCGTCTCTCTCTCTTGTCCTCTCTCTCGTGTCTCTCTCTCTCGTCTCTCTCTCTTGTCTCTCTCTCTCGTCTCTCTCTCTGTCTCTCTCTCTCTCGTCTCTCTCTCTCGTCTCTCTCTCTCGTCTCTCTCTCTGTCTCTCTCTCTGTCTCTCTCTCTCGTCTCTCTCTCTCGTGTCTCTCTCTCGTGTCTCTCTCTTGTCTCTCTCTCTGTCTCTCTCTCTCTCGTCTCTCTCTCTTGTCCTCTCTCTCGTGTCTCTCTCTCTCGTCTCTCTCTCTTGTCTCTCTCTCTCGTCTCTCTCTCTGTCTCTCTCTCTCTCGTCTCTCTCTCTTGTCCTCTCTCTCTGTCTCTCTCTCTCTCTCTGTCTCTCTCTCTCGTCTCTCTCTCTGTCTCTCTCTCTCGTCTCTCTCTCTGTCTCTCTCTCTGTCTCTCTCTCTCGTCTCTCTCTCTTGTCCTCTCTCTCTGTCTCTCTCTCTCGTCTCTCTCTTGTCCTCTCTCTCTGTCTCTCTCTCGTGTCTCTCTCTCTTGTCTCTCTCTCTCGTGTCTCTCTCTCGTGTCTCTCTCTCTTGTCTCTCTCTGTCTCTCTCTCGTGTCTCTCTCTCTTGTCTCTCTCTGTCTCTCTCTCTCGTCTCTCTCTCTGTCTCTCTCTGTCTCTCTCTCTTGTCTCTCTCTTGTCTCTCTCTGTCTCTCTCTCTCGTCTCTCTCTCTCGTCTCTCTCTCTCTTGTCTCTCTCTCTGTCTCTCTCTCTCGTCTCTCTCTCGTCCTCTCTTTCTGTCTCTCTCTCTCTTGTCTCTCTCTCTGTCTCTCTCTCTGTCTGTCTCTCTCTTGTCTCTCTCTTGTCTCTCTCTCCGTATCTCTATCGTCTCTCTCTCTGTCTCTCTCTCTAGATGTCTCTCTGTCTCTCTCTCTTGTCTCTCTCTTGTCTCTCTCTCCGTATCTCTATCGTCTCTCTCTGTCTCTCTCTCGTCTCTCTCTCTGTCTCTGTCTCTCTCTCTAGATGTATCTCTCTCTGTCTCTCTCTTCTCTGTCTCTCTCTTCTCTGTCTCTCTCTCTGTCTCTCTCGTCTCTCTCTGTCTCTCTGTCTCTCTCTCTCTTCTCTCTCTCCATATCTCTATCGCATCTCTCCCTCTCCGTCTCTCCCTCCCTGTCGTCTCGTGTCTCCACACCTTGAGCCAGGTGATGGAGAGAAGTCCTTGTGGTGCCAGCTGTTGGAGCAGAGCGGTGCACTGGATGGAGTGTGACTGGGAGATGAACGCCACGCGGCCCGTCAGGAGGAGCTCCGGGATGACGCAGGAGCCGGGCGTCCGCAGGAAGACCGTCACGTTGAAGCACTCCACCACCTGCTGCTGCCTGAGAGAGAGGGGAGATGGGGGGAGGGGTGTGTACCGTCACCTTGAAGCACTCCACCACCACCACCACCACCTGCTGTTGCCTGAGAGAGAGGGGGAGATGGGGGGGGTGTGTACCGTCACGTTGAAGCACTCCACCACCACCACCACCACCTGCTGTTGCCTGAGAGAGGGGGGAGGGGTGTGTACCGTCACGTTGAAGCACTCCACCACCACCACCACCACCTGCTGCTGCCTGAGAGAGGGGGAGATGGGGGGGGGTGTGTACCGTCACGTTGAAGCACTCCACCACCACCACCACCACCTGCTGCTGCCTGAGAGAGAGGGGAGATGGGGGGAGGGGTGTGTACCGTCACCTTGAAGCACTCCACCACCACCACCACCACCTGCTGTTGCCTGAGAGAGAGGGGGAGATGGGGGGGGTGTGTACCGTCACGTTGAAGCACTCCACCACCACCACCACCACCTGCTGTTGCCTGAGAGAGGGGGGAGGGGTGTGTACCGTCACGTTGAAGCACTCCACCACCACCACCACCACCTGCTGCTGCCTGAGAGAGGGGGAGATGGGGGGGGGTGTGTACCGTCACGTTGAAGCACTCCACCACCACCACCACCACCTGCTGCTGCCTGAGAGAGGGGAGATGGGGGAGGGGTGTGTACCGTCACGTTGAAGCACTCCACCACCACCACCACCTGCTGCTGCCTGAGAGAGGGGAGATGGGGGAGGGGTGTGTACCGTCACGTTGAAGCACTCCACCACCACCACCACCACCACCTGCTGTTGCCTGAGAGAGGGGGAGATGGGGGGAGGGGTGTGTACCGTCACGTTGAAGCACTCCACCACCACCACCACCACCTGCTGTTGCCTGAGAGAGGGGGAGATGGGGGGGGAGGGGGAGGGGTGTGTACTGTCACGTTGAAGCACTCCACCACCACCACCACCACCTGCTGTTGCCTGAGAGAGGGGGAGATGGGGGGAGGGGGAGGGGTGTGTACTGTCACGTTGAAGCACTCCACCACCACCACCACCACCTGCTGTTGCCTGAGAGAGGGGGGAGGGAGGGGGAGGGGTGTGTACCGTCACGTTGAAGCACTCCACCACCACCACCACCACCTGCTGCTGCCTGAGAGAGGGGGGGAGATGGGGGAGGGGGGGGGAGGGGTGTGTACCGTCACGTTGAAGCACTCCACCACCACCACCTGCTGCTGTTGCCTGAGAGAGGGGAGATGGGGGGGGAGGCGATGGGGAGGAGACAATGGGGGGGAGGGGGGATGGGGAGATGATGGGAGGGAGGGGGGAGACGATGGGTAGGGGGGAGGGGGGTGTAGACGATGGGGGGGAGGGGGGATGGGGAGACGATGGGGGGGGAGGGGGAGGGGGGGCGATGGGGGGGGTGTAGACGAGGGGGGAGGGGGTGGAGACGATGGGGGGAGGGGCGAGGGAGGGGCGAGTGGGGGAGGGGGTTGTAGACGCTGGAGGGGGAGGGGCGAGGGAGGGGGGTGTAGACGATGGGGGGGAGGGGGGGTGTAGACGATGGGGGGGGAGGGGGAGGGGGGTGTAGACGATGGGGGGGGAGGGGGGAGGGGGGTGTAGACGAT